AACCCACTGTCCCACCCAGTCCCCAACCCACTGTCCCACCCAGTCCCAGGGGGCAGAAAAGGACAATGTCCGACCCACCCACCCTTGCTACTCACCTGGACAATGCTGACTCCGGTGAGTTTCTCAATGGTGTCCGGGAGCTTGGTCATGATGTCGAGCACCTCGCCACTGAGTTTGGCTGCTCCCAGCTCCCCATTACCGCTGCTGACCATGGTGATCTTCTTCACTTTGGAGAAGGGCTGGCTGATCTCAGCTGCAACCTGGATCAAACAACGGCAAGTGATGAGAGTGCTCCACAAAGCAATATCTAAAGCTGCCTCTCCTTGGCCCACACACAAAAAAATAATTCCTCCATCCATAAGGATTTGGTACGGTGACGAAGAGAGGAAAAGTGAGGGACTGTAAGAGCGGGGATGAAAATATCACACCGGGGTTTTGTGACCACCCAGTGAAGGCTTGCTTTCACTGCAATTTCTTTTGTAACCAACTGAAGCTTCTACTGTAGGATGTGACCCATAGCCAGAGCCTGGGGATTAACAATGCAGTGACATAACAACATCACAGCCTCCCCCAGCCTATTCCTTTTGGTGACATTCCTCATTCTTGGCTGAGGGGTGACCTTATAGAGGTTGATAGAATCGTAAGAGGTATGGATAGGGTGAATAGTCAAGGTCTTTTCCCAAGGGTAGGGCAGTCCAAACCTAGACAGCATAGGTTTAAGGTGAGAGGGGTAAGAATTAAAAAGGACCTGACGGGCATCTTTTTCACACTGAGGGTGGTGCGTGTATGGAATGAGCTGCCAGAGAAAGTGGAGGAATCTGGCATAATTACAAAAACATTTAAAACGCATCTGGATGGGTACATGAATAGGAAACGTTTAAGAGGGATATGGACCAAATGCTGGCAAATTGGACTAGATTAATTTAGGTTCTGGTCAGGATGGACAAATTGGGCCAAAGGGTCTGTTTCCCTGCTGAGCAACTCAATAACTCATTCCCAGGAAACATTTCTGCATCCATCCAAAGACAGACAGATAATTACACTGTGTTGTTGTTGCTAGACTAATATTCCAGGGTTTCAGCTTTGAAAAGTACTGAAGCACATGGTGCAATTTGAATTTTTTTGATTTAAAAAAACTGATGATCAAACCAGTAAATACTCATATGGACCAAATGGAACTATGGGTAGGTGACGGCCTTGTGGTATTATCACTGAACTGTTAATCCAAAGACCCAGGTAACATTCTGGGGACCCAGGTTTGAATCCTGCCACAACAGATGGTAGAATTTGAATTCAATAAAATTAAGAATCAAGTGATGACCATGAATCCATTGTCAATTGTTGGAAAAACCCATCTGGTTCACTAACGTCTTTTAGGGGAGGAAACTGCCATCCTTACCTGGTCTGGTCTACATGTGACTCCAGAACCACAGCAATGTGGGTTGATTCTGAAGTGCCCTCTGGGCAATTAGGGATGGGCAATAAATGCTGCCTAGCCAGTGATGCCCTCATCCCGTGAATGAATGAAGAAATGATTTAGGATATCTGGTCGGCATGGACAAGTTGGACCAAAGGATCTGCTTCCATGCTGTATAGCTCTGACTCTATGGTTCCTTAACATCTTTGTTTACAGAAGGAGACCTAGCCCATACACACCACACGACCCACAGTAATGTGATCGACTCTGAACTGTCTCTGAAATGGTCTAGCAAGCCATTTGGTTGTATCAAACTTGTAAAAAGTCTGCACAATGGGGAAAAAAAAGGAACGAAACAATGCAGACTACCTGACATCAACTGAGACACCAGAAATGACCATGGCAAACTAAGGCGAGTCAACCATGCAGGATGCTTCTTACTGACTCCCCTGCTAGTACCAAAATCATAGAATCCTGACAGTGTGGAAGCAGGCCATTCGGCCCCTCGAGTTCACTATGACCCTCCGAATAGCATCCCACCCAGACCCAACCCCCTACTTTATCCCTGTGACTCTGCATTTCCCATGACAAATCCACCTACCCTACACTTTTACGGGCTTGGGGGGAAACCACAATGTGCAAACTCCACACAGACAGTTGCCCGAGGGTAGAATCAAACCCAGGTCCCTGGTGCTGTGAGGCAGCAGTGCTAACCACTGAGCCACCGTGCTGCTCCAAAATGGGGATAGCTGTCTCACAGACTGGCGAAGTGTCAACACTCCTGTGCCAAAAGGCAAAAGCAGCAACTGATAAACCGGGCTATAATCGTCATTGAATACCCCAATATCTCAATCCTGGGTGTTACTATTGACCAGAAACTGAACTCGACCTAGCCATATGAATACTGTGGCTACAAGAGCAGATCAGAGGCTAGGAATACTGCAACAAGTAGCTTATCTCCTGCATCCCCAAAGCCTGCCCACCATCTATGAGGCACAAGTCAGGAGGGTGATGGAATACTCCCCACTTGATTGGATGAGTGCAGCTCCGACAACACTCAAGAAGCTTGATGCCATCCAGGACAAAGCAGCTTACATGCTCGTCAGCACATCCCATAAACACCACTGACACTCCATCACAGCAGTGCGCCATCTACAAAATGCACAGCAGATATTCAACAAGGCTCCCAAAATAGCTGTTTTCAACCCACAACCCCTTCCATCTAGAAGGACAAGGGCACCAGTTACATGGCAACACTGCCATCTGCAGGTTCTTCTCTGAACCATTCACCGCCCTGACTTGGAAATACAACTCCATTTCTTGGCTGTGACCGGGTCAAAATCCAGGCACTCCCTCGCTAACAGCACCACGGATCAACCTACAGTAAATGGACTTTGGCAGCTCACCACCACATTATCAAGGGCAATCGGTGGATTGGCAATAAATTCTGTCCCTGCCACAGAAGCCAATATCTCCACTGAATTAGTTTTAAAAAGCTCCCCATGATTCTAAGCAATGGTGGTGGTGATAGTGACGAGGTGGGTGGGAGGGTTGCGAAGGAGGCAAGAGGGGGAGATGAATTTACAGAACACCTCCCACCCCTCCCAGATTGGAGTTTCAGGCTCATCACAATTCCTCAGCCACAGGTTGGGGACATGGCGCTGTCCAGAGCACTCACTTCAGGCAGCTTTTCCAGTACCATATCGACCATGGCAGCATCCTTGTACTCGTTGAAGGCTTCTGCTTTCTTGACCATTTGCTCAGCCTCAGCTTTGGCCTTGGCATGAATGGCGAAGGCCTCAGCCTCTCCCTTCACCTACGGAGGAAGCGAAGCAATGGCATTTATTCAGAAACAGCCAAAAACACCCCCAGCATTGGTACTGCAGCTGCTCAGATGTTTTCCCCCACCTCTGATGATAGCCTGTCTATACCATTTTACCACGTTCTCCATCTCCTTCCTTAAAGGAAAATAATCTCCTGACTTTAATTTGGACAAGCTCCAGTGATCCGGAATGGGGTGGGTGTCAATATAGAAAATAATTCCAGATTTCCACTGCCCATAAATTCCGGGAAGAACAATTCCAAAGGACAGACCTACTGGTGAGGTTAATTAAAACCATTTAATATACCAAACTTAAATAAAAATCAAAAGCAAAACAGATGCCAGTTCATATTTGACAGAATATAAATAATAGCAAAGGAAGACTAAAAATTCTTCAGTTCTGAGAAAGGGTCACCGTACCTGAAACGTTAACTCTGCTTTTTCCTTCACAGATGCTGCCAGACCCGCTGCGCTTTTCCAGCAACTTTGTTTTTGTTAAGATTAAAAATGTACTAGCAAAGAAAATTTAGAATACAAGCGAAAGCTAGCCAAGAAATATAAAAGCAGATAGTAAGACTTTCTCTCGGTATTTAAAGCATCATTAAGGCTGGATAAGCTGAGACTTTTTTCTCTGGAGTGTAGGAGACCTTACAGAGGTCTATAAAATCATGAGGGGCATAGGCAAGGTAGCTAGCCAACAGATTTTCCCCATGATAGTGGAGTCTAAGACTAGAGGGCATAGGTTTAAGTTGAGAGGGGAGAAACACAGAAGGGTCGGGGGGGGGGGTCGCAATTTTTTCACACATAGGTTGGTGAGTGTCTGGAACGGGCTGCCAGAGATAGCGGTGGAGGTGAGTACAATTTTGTCATTTAAGAAGCATTTAGACAGGAACTTGGACGGGATGGGTATGGAGGTGTATGGAGCAAACGCATGCAAATGGGACTAGTTTAAATTGTGAAAACTGGGCGGCATGGACAAGTTGGGCTGAAGGGCCTGTTTCCATGCTGTAGACCTCTATGACACAAGAGTTAACTAAATTAGCACTGGTCCTCTGAAAAGTCAGCCTGAAGCATTAATAATGGAAAATAAAGAGACAACAGATGAACTGAACAGTATTTTACATCAGTCTTCATCATAGAGGCTAAGAATAACAGCTGGAGGCCTCTAGCTACAAATCAGGAAATGAAAGGCAAGAACTCAGGAAAATTACAATCACTACAGAAGTGGGACTGAATGAATTGCTGGAGCTGCCACGTACCAGCTCCTGATGGATTCCATCCCAATGTTTAAGGAGAGTGGCAAGTGAGATAGTTGGTACACAGGTTTGTAGAAGATCCCGTTCGACTGGAAAATAGCAAATGTAACTCCTTTGTTCAGACAGGGCAGCAGACGTAAAGCAGGAAGCTACAGGCCTGTTAGCTTAACATCTGTCGTTGGGAAAATCTGAAGGGCTATTACTAAAGAGTTACAGCGGGTCTCTTAGATAAAGTTAAGGTGACCAGACAGAGGCAATGTGGTCTTGTGAAAGGAAAATCATATTGAAACAAAAGACTCAGACTTTTACAGCTAGAAGCCCATTCAGCCCAGCACATCCATGCCAGAATTCTTTGAGAAAGGAAGGTGTATTGTAGATCAAGGGGAAACCAGTGAATATACTGTACTTACATTTCCAGAAGGCATTTGAGAAGGCACCATATCAAAGGTTACTGTGGAAAATAAAGGGTCAGGTGTAGGGGTGGCATACTGACATGTATAGCAGATCAAAGGACGCAGAGGTAGATCTAAACGGATCTTTCTCTAATTGGCAAGAAATAATGAGTGAAATAGAGTTTACAATTAACGGTTTACTATTAATAACAAGGATGAAGGGACAGACGGCATTGTCAAATTTACTGATGACACAGAGATAAGTTGGGAAGAGGACACACATGGGGTTACAAAATGATACAGATGAGTGAGTAGACAAATATCTGGTACACGGAAGTGTTATGTGGGAAAATGTTACACTGTCCATTTCAGCGGGAAAAATAAAAAGCATATTAGCTAAATGGTGAGACACTGAAAAGCTCCGAGATGCAGAGGGATCTGGGTGTCTTTGTGCATGAACACAGGTGTGGCTCAGTGATTAGTACTACTGTCTCACCACACCAGGGACCCAGGTTCAATTCCAGCTTCGGGTGACTGTCTGTGTGGAGTCTGCACATTCTCCCCGTATCTGCATGGGTTTTCTCCCACAAAGATGGGCAGGTTAGAGTGGACTGGCCATGCTAAATTGCCCACAATGTCCAGGGATGTGCAGGATACTAGGTTAGCCAGGGGAAATGCAGGGTTAGAGGGATAGGGCGAGGGGGGATGGGTCTGGGTGGGATGCCCTTTGCAGAGATGCAGTGTGGACTCAATAGGCCGAATGGCCTGCTTCCACATTGTAGGGTGTATTCTATGATGCAATTAGGAAAAGTAACAGAACATTATCTTCTTATGCAAGGGAAACTGTGGGAGGTTGTGTTTTAGTTGTACAGGTGTTCAGTACTGGTCGCCTTATTTAAGGGTGGATGTAAATTCTCTGGAAGCAGTTCGGACTAATATCTGAAGTGGGCTGGTTCTCTTATGAGAAAAGGCGTGTATGCACTGGAGTTTAGGTAAGAGGCTACTTGATGGAAACCAAGCAAGGTTCTAAAGGGTCTTAAAGGGTGGATATGACAGTGAATTTCCTCTTATCGGAGGATCTAGAAGGGTTAAAAGGAAGGAGTCAACACACAGCAAAACTTTTCTCACAAGGAGTCTCTGTGACTGTCTTTTACAAAAGGCAGCAGAAGCAGAGCCTTCGAACATTTTAAAGGCATGTCGGATAGATTCCTAATAAGCAAGGGCGTGAAAGATTATCAGCATTAAGTGAGAATGTGCATTTGAGATAAAAATCAGATCAATCACAATCTTATACAGAGACAGTGCAGGCTTCGGAGCTGAATGACCTAATCCTGCTGCTTTTTCCAATGACCCCATGCTCCTTGTGTGAAAAGAATACCAGTTTTAAGTATCATAGATGGTTAAGCAGCACTGAAAGAGGCCAATTAGTTTATTGAGCCTCTGCTGACTCTTAGAAGAGCTGCTAAATTAATACAAACTCAGCCCATGTAATCCAGCTCCCAATAATTTTAGTCCTGAAGCTCTGGTACCATTCTGGTCAATTTTACACTGATCTCCCTCCAGGCTAATCTGTGGTACTGGGCCCAGATCTGAACGCAGTCATCCACAGGTTTCTGAGCAAGGCTCTCTACAACAGGAAAAACAACTTACTCGAATGGATTCCGCCTCTGCCTCAGCTTCCATGATGAGCTTCAGCCTAGAGAGCAAGAGACACAATGGGATCAAAGTGGAAAGATGGACATGGCAGGTAGAACAGAACTCAGAACTCTCAACTTCATACCCGGGACAGGCTCAAAAATGAAGGCAACATTTTTCATGTTAAAATCTGCACTTGAGTCCCCATTCCAGAGGTCCGAACATAAATACCAAGAAGTGCTGAGGGGGTACTGTTTGCAAAGGGGCTTGGGTCTGATCTGCTCTCTCAGCTGACTGAAGAGGATCCCACAACAACGCTGTTTGATGTAGAGCGGGTGAGCGCTCCCTGGTACCCTGGAGCATTAGGGGCATAAGTGAACCCCCTGACTGACCCACTGTTATCCACTACCTTCCCTGGGTGTCTCTATAACTTTGTACCATTTATGGATATGTGAATCTGCAAGAGGGAAGGAACTGGGGGGAAGAAAAGAAACTATTTTGTTGCAAACATTCCTCCCACACATGGCACTCTGTTGCAAACTGTCCAGCTCCTGACTTGGGATTCCCCTAACCCCAGCGATACATCTGTGTACATTCAGTAGCTCCACTGTATCCCACACTATGCACTCCGTCACATTCACCCTGTACCTGGCCACCTGGAGCATCTCAGCTCCACTTCAGGCACTTGGTGTAATTCAACAAAACAGCAGTGACTTCGCCTCCAAAATGAACCTGCCCAGCATCAAGCCACTAATCTCTCCAACTCCACCTCACCGGATGGGGTAAGGGGTCCGTGTGGCCAACACCAGGCTCCTGTGCAAGTTGCTCGCCCCAGGACTCAGTACCGGCAGCAGGGATTTGCAAGGAGCTAAAGCGTTTCAAGGATTATCTTCAGAGCACCGCCAAAGACATCAAACATCCCCCACCAACTCACGGTAGACTCTAGCTTGTCACCGACCAAATTCAGGGAAGACAACAAAGAGAATGTGCGGGACTAACTTGGACAGATGTCTTGGACAGAGAGTGCACAAACCTCCAAACGCCAAATCTGTGCAACCCTTCCAGCAACCCCTGTCCCAGATGCGAGGGGCGCTGCGAGTTGTTCATTCAATTGACTGTCTATTTCAGGATCTGTCAGACTAGACTGGAAGTAAGTTCCAGACCTGGATCCGAAGGGACTGCCAAAGCAAGAGGAGTAATGCAATCCCATCTCTGTTACCGAGAGTACCCAAGGTTTCGCGTAGTGCCTGTTTCCCGAGACCCTTCCTGATTCTCCGCCCTCCTCTGCTTTCCCTTCAATCTCTGGCCGATCGCTCCTACCTCTCGGCTTCAGCCAGTTTCTCCAGCCGGTAACGTTCAGCCTCGGCTGGCTTCTTGACCTTGGCCTCCAGCTCCTTCTCTCTGCGGAGGATCTCCTGCTCCTGGACCTGGATCTGCTGGGCACGTTCCACCACCTGGACCTGCATCTTCTCCTCCTCGATCTGCTGCTTGGTCTTGGCAACCTGTGGTGCAAGAGGGGGGCAGGGAACAGGATTAACGTCCACCTCCTCCACCGCTGCTGACACTGATAGCTCTACGCCCCCAGTTCCACCCACTGGCACAGCTTGCCAACTATTCAAACAACCTGATCCCTGGTCCTCATTACCTCATAGAATCCCTACAGTGCGGAAAGAAACCATGAGGCCAATCCAGTCTGCACCACCCTCCGACGAGCATCCCCATCCTATCCCCTTAACCTGGCATTTCCCATGGCTAACCCACCTAAGCCTGCACATCGTTGCACTCTAAGGAGCAACTTAGCATGGCCAATCCCACCTCAGCTGCACATCTTTGGACTGTGGGAGGGGAGAAAACACAGGGAGAATGTGCAAACTCTGCACAAACAGACAGTCACACCCAGTTCCAACTCCTGATTCCTGACACTCCATCAGTAGGCCAAGCCTGCCTGACCCCTGACCCCACAGATCTTCAATCAGGAGGCCTAGCCTGGCTGACCCCTAACACCCTTGTTGGGGTGCAAACCTGCCTGACCCGTAACCCCCTCCCAACCTCAACGACCTGCAGTCAGTTAGGCAGGCCTGCCAGACGCCAGAAACCTGGAGTTGATAGGGCAGGCCGAAATGACTCCAAGCCCCCGCTGACCTGCAGTTGGTGGGCCAAGTCTGCCTGACCCCTGAACCGCAGGGAGTAGGCCAGGTCTGCCCAAACTCCCGAGCCCTCGGCCACAACCATCAGCTATTGTTGAGGCAGCTCTGTGTAGCCTCTGACCTCTAACCTCACTGACCTGCAGTTGGTAGGCCAGGTCGGAAGTAGCTTTCTTGGTGTTCACCTCCGTGTCGTAGACGGCTTTCTTCAGCTCGTAATCACGTTGAGCTTTGGCCACCTCGATCTCATTCACATACTGTGCTGAGACTTTCTGCTGCTGGGCCTTCGCTTCCTGTGTGGGCGAGAGAGGGAGGGAGGGAGGTTTCAAAGGATCACTCACATTGTCAGCTCGTGACACACAGTACTCGATACTGGCTGTGTCTGCTCTCTATACCCTGCCAGCAGTCTTACCTGATAGGGCAGCCTTAATTTAAGTGCAAACAATTCTCCAGCTGCCGTCCCCGCTGTCCCATGTCAGTGCGGTTGTGGGATCTTGCTCTGTAGCAACAGCGTGCCCCAGTTCTCTGCGCTACAACAGTGACCAGATTTCTCCGCGCCCTTTGTTGGTCACACAGTGTTTGGGATTTCCCAGGTGGTGAAAGCATAATAGGAGACATGACTGATTTCTGACACAGGACCTGACTCACTCACACTGCTCCCCGACCACAGGAAGGGAACGTACTTGGGGCTCAACGTGTGACATACCAAATGGGGACACAACTAAGCCTCTGCAAAGGTTGGACTCAAGTACACTGTTAGGTAATGGTCAAGGGAGCTTTACGCTGCATCTAAGCCCATGCGGTCCCTGCCCCAGCACAGTCCCAGACGGGGCGCTGCTCCTGCCCCTGCCCCTGCCCCTGACCCGGCACAGTCCCTGACGGGGCCCTGCAAGTGCTCAGCTCAGACAATAAACAGTCGCAGTACAAGGAAAACAAACAAATACCAAATCTCAAATTGGCACAAAACTTATCAAAGAATCATTGGCCATCAATCGCAATGACCATAGGTTAATGTTCCGCCAAACCAGATATCCTCACCTCCAGCTGCAGGAGAAGGCATATCTTCCAATTCCCCCTGCCCCTCCCTCATGCTCCTTCGCCAACTCTCCCCAAAGTCACGCCACCCAGATACCTTGATGCCAGAGTCTCGCTTCGCCTCAGCCTCTCCGATGCGGGCATCACGCTGCACTTGGGCAGTACGGGATTTCCCCAGCGAATGCAGGTAACCCTGTAGAGACAAGGAGGACCATTACAACTACAGGCCAGACACCTTGAAAACAAAGAGAGTCAACGGGCGAATAAACACCCTCAGGTTCTTTTTAAAAAAACTGTTTAAAAAACACAAAAGGGTCTGGTTATGGAACGCGGGTGAGGGGGACAATTCCTCTCCTCTATACAAGTTATTGCAATGCTGCTATACTCTAATGGATTGTGCTGGAGTGTGCAATGGGTACATCACACTGACAGTATGCAGGAGACAACATTACAGGTGAGGGGTACATCACAGTGAGTAGATACTACAGTGAGTAATGCACTCCTCCCTCAACATTGACGCACAGTGGGCTTGTTGAAGGGCATTAATTAGGACCACTCCCAACCCCGGGGCCTTTACCTGGTCATCGTGGATGTCCTTCAAGGTGTAACTGACCACCCCGATGCCCATATTGACCAGGTCGGAAGATGCCACTTTGAACACCTGCTCCGAAAACTTCTTCCGGTCTTTGTAGATCTCCTGGGAAGAGAACAGCAACTTCGGTGACGATCGAGGGAAAACGAGGTGGCAGCCGCAAGTCTCTTGAAAAGTCCCGGCACCACCTCAGCACCCCCACCCCCACCTCCCCCCGGGTGCGGCAGGGCCGAGGCTGGGTTTTTGAGTCCGTCGGTACCACCTGGCTCCTTCGCCCACCCAAGAGTTTCCTGACCGGAGAAGAGGCACAAGGTCAGGGCTGGGCAAGACCAGGAGAGCTCAATCCTACCTCCACTGTCATGTGCGCCATGATGGCTCTCTGGTGACCCTCCAGCGTCTCCAGGGCGATCTGCCCGATTTCCGTTTCCGACTTGCCCAGGAACATCTGGCAGGCAGCAGCCAGCATCTCCTTATTTTGCCCCTGGATCTTCACCTGGAACAGGAAGAGGTCACTCAGGAGGAGGCTGAGCTCAGTTAGACCGAAAAGGGATCAGCTCCAGGGGAGGGGGAAGAAACAAAACGCCAAATCTAAACCGGGCAGGAATGTTTACAAAGTGAAGCAGCTCACGGCAAACAGAAGATGTTGGTAAAATGGCTAATCGCAAAGTAGCAAGGCCATTCCACACCTTCCTACCAGATTGAATCTCTTCACATTCACTCTCCCCTAGCACCCTGCAATACCTATCTTTAAAAAGTAAATTAAATATTTTTCCGTTCACTCCTAGGAACGGATTCTGATGCATCAAATCCCTGACCGTTCATTCCCGCTGGACACACTGCAATAAATCGCAACCATTCCCATTTTACAGATCTGAATGGATGGCACGCTTTCCCAAAAAATCCACGAAACAGATTCTCCAAGGTTCAAACTCCTTCCCATTCATTCCTGCTGCACAGATTAGAGTAACAAACCTCTTCCTGGCAGATTAGAATGATTAAATCATTTGTATTGTGCAGAAATCTTATCCAAACAATCTTGGCCAATTATCCAATTTTTAATACCCCTGACATCCTACCAGCCTTATCTTCCAATTAGCCTATCAACCGATGTTAATAATAGATTACACCCTCTGCAAGCAATCATTGAAACGTTGGAGATTCGGGTCTTGTTTGGATTTTGAGGACGAATGACTACACACTGAACGCTTATTGCAAACTCAATGAGCTGGTGTTCGCCAGAACTGCCTGTGCAGCAAATTTCAGTAAGCACTCGGGGAGGTTCAGAGGGAAGTCCTGGGCTGTGTGGGTGAGAACAGCTCAGGATACTGCACAGCGGTAGCGACAAAAAGGACTTTGACCCGTTCACATTCTGTAACAAAACAGGAGACGGCAATCGGAAAAGGGTTTGAGTCTGTTGAAGGACCGGGTTCCGTCTCAACTTTGAGAACACATGACAGATCCTTCTGCTATCCCAGACCAGGGTGAGGGAAGGTATTGGCCCCGTGCTGACTCTTAGACATTGATGGAGGGGGTGGGGGTGGAGTTCAGAATGAAATCAGTTTAAAAGGTACATTACCGGAAATGCAGCTCAGGGCTGATTTTACTTTCAAATGGCACCAAATGCACCACCAGGCTTCCCACATCAATCTTAATTCTGTCTTCACATCAGGCAGGAGAACCCAGTAACAAAGCATAAAGGCCATTAATGTAGAGAGAGTCCTCAAGAGATACAGTCTCTGGGAAATCAAATCATTATTCACCACTGCAGGCACTGGCTTGAATGGAACGGCTAGCAGCAAGCCTGTCAGAGATAGACGGTTCTGGGCTCAAGTCTCACGCCAGAGACTTAAACACAAAAGTGAGGTCGACACTGCCAGGGAAGGAGCGTTGCCTGCCCTTTCCCATCGTCACTATCTTTACACAGAACCTGGGCACTTGTCAGTGTAGGAAACGCAAGCCCATTTAAGGGCAAACTGCTTTAAGGTAAGCAGGCGATGCTTGCTGGAATTTGTGCTGCAGTAGCGTCTTCACCTCTTGGCCAGGTGGTTCGAATAAAGTCCCACCTACTCCAGAGACGTGTAATAACATCTCTGACAGGCTGACTGAAAATATATCAAGAGCGGGGTTCTTTCCCCGGGCACTCGATGCAACAGTAGTGTCACTGGAAGGTCTGAGTGCAAGTCCCATCTGTGTCAGAGGTTGTTTAAAAAAAAAACACTACTGGAAGTACAAATCAGATTACCAAAGCATCTCTGTGCAAGTCGCTGCTACTGCATGCCAACTACTTTCTTCTCCTTTATCCATCACCTGGGCATGCTTTGGCACTGGGCAGTAATGGGGCATCCCCACTTCAGTGGGGCTCTCCGTGCAGAACTCCTCCTGCTCTCCTTCGGGATCTGGGGTGAAGGGAGTTTTGTGTGCAACAGTTCCACATGATCGCAGTTTGATGGGGTTCGTGGACTCCCAGCCCAACTGTTTATTACGCAGTGCTGCGGACCCTGTGAACCACATGTCTGCGGGTTGCTCCGCCTGTTTAATTACAGTCAAAGAATAAAGAACAATACAGTACAGGAACAGGCCATTCGGCCCTCCAAGCCTGCAAGTCAGAGCTGTACAGCACAGATACAGACCCTTCAGTCCAACACATGCATGCCTACCAGATATCCTAAACAAATCTAGTTCCATTTGCCAGCAATTGGCCCATATCCCTCTAAACCCTTGCTGTTCATGTACCCATCGGGATGCCTTTTAAATGTTGTAATTGTACCAGTCTCCATCACCGCCTCTGGCAGCTCGTTGCATACACTCACCACCCAGCATGAAAAAGTTGCTCCTTAGGTCACTTTTAAATCTTTCCCCTCTTACCTTAAGTCCATGTCCTTTAGTTTTGAGTTCCCCTACCCTGGGGAAAAGGACCTTGGTCGTTGACCCTATCTACGCCCCTCATGATTTTAAATACTTCCACAAGGTCCCTCAGCCTCCAACGGTTCAGAGAAAATAGCACCCTCTCCCTATAGTTCAAACTATAGTCCAATTTAAAAACCTGGATCTTGGTTCTTTGCCCCCGACACTTCAGCTCCGCGCTTTTGATCTCTGGGCATCCACGGGGAGGGGACAGGTGAGTAGGTCAGACAGTCTCCTTGTGGGTTTGGTGAAAGTAGCCATCAGGCCGCAGAGGGGGTCTTACATGCCCTCCCTCCTGCATCTAGGTTTGTGCCAGGGTGCCCTTAGGGAAGGGGGCCCACCTCGAGAGAAATGTAGGCGCCACAGCGACTGGAGCACATTATTTCAGCATCTCCAGTTGAATTTAATCACCTCCTTTCCCTATTTTTGTCATGCTTATTCTGCCACTGTCAACTGGTATTTTAATGAGTGACACAGGGGACTTGGAAGTGGCTTATCAATAAAAACAGAGAGATCTGGGTTCTTTCACCAACACCCTCGAAGTTATGAAAGACATGAGTCACGCAGTGGCTGGTGTTTCGCTCGCTCCCTTTCCAACTCCATTTTAATTTCGTTCTGTCTCTCTCTTTCTCTCACAACCTTTCCTTTTGTGTTATTGTCACACTATTCCCCTGCCGGGAACAGTGCCTGTAACTTGTTATTTTTACATTTGTGACACAGATGACTTGGTGGCAGCACACTGAAATAAAAGCACGAACTGGGAACTAGGAGCTCTTGTGGCAGAGTGGCAGTCTCCCTGCCTCTGGGCTAGAAGGTCTGAATTCAAGATGCACCTCCACCAACCACCCCCGACCCCAGACACATACCGTAACACGTCTGCACGGATGGATTAAAAGTAACACGAACTGGACTCGTTTTGTTAATTCGGTGGTGGGGCTTTTATAAAATATTATATTTAAAGAAAAGCTGTAAGGGGTGGAGTGGGCAGATTTGGCTTCTGCAGAGCAAAGATCCAGAAGGGTGTGGTGGAAACTGTTGTTGGTTCTATGCAATGGATTTACGATAAAACCTTTGTAAACCTCAAAGACTTTTTCTGCCTAATTTAACACAAGGACACCGGTCTGTAGAACAGATTTTAGCCCAGCATCCTTCCACAAACATCACGAAGAAACAAACATTAAACTGCATTTGGACAATTAACTGTCTTCCGATCCCTGATCAGGACTTCTGATCTTCTGTTCGATGGAGTGAGAGAGATTAAACACTGGGGGTAGAATAACTCAAGGCCACTAACGTTTGCTCATCTGAATTTCGAGCGAGAATTACAGGAAGGCAGAGGCCACACAACTTGATTTAATAAAATATACACATTATGCATAAAACAGCTCTCCCTTTAAAGGAGACTGGTCATTGAGCCAAAATCATTTTGTTGCATTGATCCAGTATGGGGTCTTTTACTGAGTGAAGTGAGACAACTCCACTCAGCCTTACACTGGGGGGGCAGCACTGTACCTGAGCAATTCCTGTGACGGAGATCGGGACACCATGACGTGTGTACACCTTCTCACTTTTCACATTCAGCGTTAGAGTGCTCAAGGAAATTCTAGAGAGAGAATGGCAGAGACATAGAAGGTTATAAGCAGTTATAAGTTAAAAGAGGTTATAAGCAGTGTCAGTTCGAGGCAGAGGCTAGGAGCATTGCAACATTATTCAGTTGGAAAAGTGGCAAAAATTCCATGCCCTTCAGCCTCCCACCTTACTCAGCCAAAAGACTGGCTTAT